CACTTTGTTTCACGATGCGTCGCATTCATCGGGAACCGTTTCTGATGCGCACGGATGGAAGCACGAACGTTTACGGAAGTAAATGCGATTTTCTCGCACAGCGGAATAATGCGAGAGTTGGTGGGAGAAACAGATGTAGATGCGTGCGCGTAGTCGCAACGTAATCGTGTTATCGAGAACACCAGTCGACACACCGTCTGAAAATGAACTGACTGTGTGGCGCTGGCGGTGGCGGTCGACGATGCGCGGAATAACTTTCCACGATGGTCGCGGTAACAGTGGTGCCTCTGGCGGCGATTAAACAAACATGACCAGACGGCAGACGGGACTCGCGAGGAGTTACAACGAATTTACTATGATTACGATACCACCCATTGAAACGATGGGAGATGCAAACTCATACTAGTGCACGTATCGCGTGTACGCGAGCTTTGGTACTTCGGGAAGGCGAGAAGGAGAGCTTCAGCAAGCTTTCTTTCTCACTCCCCAAAGCCGGCCCGTGGCCGAATCCCTGAAATGTCGACAGAGTTGGACAAGTTTTCTTCCCGAGTAACGAATACGAATTTTAGATTTATTTGTCAACTAGTTTTAAATTAGAAATCACGAGAAAAAGAGTCTGTCGTTCGGCTTCGTTCCTCGATTCTCCGAAGATGCACACGAAGCACCAAGCTCAAATGGATGTGCTTTTGAATGAGTGTGTCTCTACAGTCCCCACCATTCCCCATAGGGCTATAACGAATCACTGTAACTCCTGGCGACCCCCGTTTACAGTCTGGCGTCTCTGTTCAGTCCAAGGTAAAGGCACGCGTGTTCCGAAAGGGGCAGAGTAGGGGTGGGAAAACCCATCGCCATCGTCCGCTGGCAGGGCCAGCAGCTGCAGCACGTACACATTGTGTACTCGATTTAACTCGATATTCTTTAGATTTAGATAACCAGTTTAGAAAAAGAAAGTAGGATCGGAAATCCCGCACAAATTTCCCATAGCTGCGACAGTAGGTCACGAGCAAATAGCTAAACGCCTAGAGATCGCGAACGTTAACAAACGATCTGAAAAGAGAAGAGTAAACATTTATTAGAAATATCTTCTCCATTACGAAACGTAATTCCGAGGCTTATTATCGGAGAAGTTCAGAGAGAATCTGCTATTTTAAATCTGCTAATTACGAAACGATAGGAAATGAGAAAGAAGGCCGAAAAAAATGATGAGAAATTAGCGACTGAGATTAATAAATGTCAAGTATAGCTTAATTATATGTACGTATATGTGAATGCTGTCTACAATTCGTACAGCGACCATTTATTTTAACATGGTTCCTGTACGAATACTTATTACACTGACTGTGCTTTCGAGACAAACTTTTGACGACTTTCATACAAATCTCCTGGTATATAAATAAATAAATACATCAATCACGCCGTAAACGTAAAAGGTATCCATCGATTCCTGTCCCTAAGAATCGCGTGGAGACGAATAAAACTCGCGTTAAAGTCTCTGACCATTGCGAACAAAACTTTTCTGTCCACAACTTTTGTTATGGCGTAGCAAAAGTCTGGACATTTAACCGTAGCAATTCGTACCTCGAGCCTAGACCTGCGTCATATATCAACCGTGGGCCTCTTCCGCAGGTATTTTGTACCTGTTCAAAGTGCACCTGTCCGTCGGCATCGATTCCTCTTTGTTCTTTTTTCTTCTAAAGAAACCCGAAATCGACAATGACGAATCTTTCGTAAACGTCAAGAGGAAAGCGTCGATTGTCGAAAAAACCACGCAAGTACTGTCTACGAGGATGGGAGGATGTGGATTTCACTGTTCCACTTTCTTTTCCAGGCTAATCCGCGCGACACGAAACTCATTGGAACTTCCGTCGGGTATTTCCAAACTGGAAACTTTGTCGATTATTTGCGGTAATATCAGCGATTATTACCTCATTACGATACCGAGTAGATCCCACACGAGGCCACCCCCATAAATCTAAGAGATTTTCGTTCGGGTTATTCTACGGTCGTTTCGAGTACGGTTTTCCCCAAAACGTTGCTTACTTACACCTAGCTTCAAACAAAGAGAACCTACACCTCTGTTATCGTTCGTTACACAAATGGCCAGACGGTTCCGATAATAACGGACCATTGTCACAATACAATATACGTGCTCTCATAATCCGGCGGTTTCATTACTTTGGAAATAGCAACCGAACGAAACGAGACACACGACGAATTGGGACTCGAACGACTCGCACGAGCATTTGTAAACGATAGTTTTAATCCTACGGCTTCTACAATAGAATTATATAATTTTACGTAATCGTTGGTCGACGATAAACGTTCAGTGGATGTCGTCACTTTTAGGTTCGCCAACGTTGCACAGTATCGTAAAACGACTACCTGTGCGCCACCTTACGAATCGGTTACCCTAATTGTTATAATTAAAATTGGACGAGTCATAGGATAGCAATTACGTTTCAACGAAAATGTTATTAGTCGCAAATGACGATTGTAAACGACGGTAAGTTTTGGCCGTTCCCGATGACCATAATGGACCGGGGAAACTCATCTTCCTCCTAATAGTTATCGACGAGGAAACAATTTTAGCAAAGTGTTGATGAACGAATGAATTTAAACAATTAATTGTGAAGCAACAAATTTGACGCTGGGAAACAAAATGTCCGTCATCGATAACAATTACGTGCAACCATTTTCCTTCGTTGATAATTGTTGTAATCCAATTACAGGTATTTCCCTGATCGATAGCTAATGCGAGTAATCGAAATCTATTTCCTTCGTTGATAATGGTTATCAAAAGGACACTCGAGAGAAGGGAAACCACCGTTAGTAGTAATCGATTATTTTTCATTAAAAGAATATTGCTGGTGTTCCCAGTACAGCGAAGAATTTCTGTTGAGGCGGGCATGTGCCCATGCTAGCTGGGGAATACCTGTTCGAGATAAGGTCAGGAAAGCGTATTATCTCTGTATCGTTTACTTATAACCAATTTAACGATATACCTGCAACATTATCAGTAAGATTGCTGCTGCACTTTGAGCAGCTCGAAAGCAACGGATACGGTTCGGGTACATGGTAATTTCAATTCGAGTACATTTCGAGGTCAACAGTAACGGTTGACGTGCAAATTGCCACGCTTTTCTACTACTTATTCGATCATTCTTTTGTTCAAGTTACAGAAATTACGGATACTTGGACTGCAGAAGGTCTGGGAAAAAATGACTCAAAGACGATGCAGAAGCATTTTAGAGGCATTTGAAATCGTTGTAACGTATCATCGTCGAGGTAGTTTTGACATTTCTGCTTCTTTATGGTTGGTCGAGAAATATGGTGGGTTTGAAGAAACCACAGGGGACCAAGACGGTAGCGTTCTTAATTGTAGGGTGTTTCCAATACAGGACTTGGATGGATCCTGTTGTCTAACAATAACAAGACCCACCATCCCACCAATAACTGAGCAACCCTGGGGGAATAAGAACATCTATCATATAGATCTTACGAAACTTTTTCAAAGATACGAGTCTGTGTTTTGCTTTACATTTGAAGAATGATTGACTAGAAAAACATGAAATTTAAGAGCGTGTCCTTCAGAGGACAGATTCGACGTAGGAAAATATCGAAACGAACCTAACTGGGATCCAATATGCACGGCCCTGTACCAAACAGCTGCTACCCCGCTGGGAAAAACCCATCCAACATCCGGTACCCGACAAGGGTATCGCTTTACAGTCCTCTTAAAACTGACTTACGAATATTACTATTTGTTTCATCGACCTTGCCCATAAAAGCCACGAGACCCGAATTATTTCGGTCTAGTCGTGTCAAAGATCCTCTGAGGCATCAAACGCGTATGTCAAACCCACGTGTCGAACGCGTACAGCTCTTACCTGCAGAACGACAGGTACAATAAGGAAATTGCGCGCATAGAGGACACAACGTAATCGAATATTTACCAATTAAGATACGGTAAAGTAAGATTAACTTTTCGAACAAACACATGACAAATCAAAATTAAATCTTGGCTTATTTGAAGAGTTGCTGCTTATGAATAACATAATAATCAATGTATTATCAGTTAGAATCGATAAGTGAAAGATACGTTTTCAAATTGCTTTCACGAGTCAATTCACTCATTGAATAAAAATTGGAATTGTAAAAACATTTCTCAATGAATAGATAACGATTTAACTAACGAATAAACATCCTGAATAAATTACTATTTTACACGAAATTCTACTCGTGCCTGGAAGACATTAAAAAACTCGTAAACACCTAAAAGATTAAAGTAAGATTAGTGGTCCAGGCAATGGCCCAATTTACACAATCGAAACGTATGGCTTTATGTCAAATAGTTTCAAGGGCGAGACACTTGAAACGCTACACTCGAACTGTTCGAAAATACAATTCCTGCAAAAAGCTCCGTATAACCGAAGCTTCAATTTCACTTTGAATATTGAAGTAACTCGTAAACGGAATATTAAAAAAATAATCAAAATAGTCTCGCGAGTATTCTAACTTTAATGGAAAATTTCATTAATCATCGTCGAGGTGAAGGCTTACCTGTCAATTATTGACGGCTTCGTGATCGAAACGAACAGCATATTTAGTCAAAAAACTGATTTCATCAATACAACGTGAGTTGTTTATGTCGTTTTCTGTTATAAGGAAAACGTTCACGCAATAGTTATTTTGTGTACGAGATTGTGTGTATGTTGAACGTGAGGATCGTGACACGAGCGAATGTAGCGCAGAGCGTCGAGTCAAACGTAGCGCAGCGTGCACAGTCGGGCTTCGAACTGCTTGTAATCGGCTACGCACCGTCGGACGGAATTTATGTTTGTTTGTTCGGGAAATACCAAATGTAACCCGGATATATATATATATGCGGGTTCACAATTTTTAAACAGGATTCTGGATAAGACATTGTCAGGGGCTTGCCTTTTCGCATGAAAATGAAATTTGAAAGTCGCCTCTATGGCATCTAACGCGAAAAAGAAAAATGAAAATACATCGAAACTTTATTTTAGCAAAATACAAAAGGAACACGTTATGTGCTATTATGTTCGAGTATTCCTTGCCTTATAAGCGGTTCGCATACAGCTCGTGGTAATAAATGATACGTATTTTTCTTCAGTAAAATAACTTGACCATCTTCGAGCTCTAGCTTTCCAAAGTCCATCACGCATTTCACCTGCAATCAGAAATGTTTTTACATGTTGAGATATTATTAAAGATGATGAAGAGTAATTGATTCTTATACCTCCACATAAGGAGTCTTAGGAGGCAACATATTTGCTGTTAGATTAAATCCTTGATCTTCACCCAAGGATCTCATGTATGTAGCCAAGGATTTGTTATACGTTTGGAACCACTGAACTTCTGCATTTAGCAAATTAGAGTTTACTTCTGGTGGCAAAATGCTTCCCAATTCCCAACGCAATTCTCTTAATTTTCGCATTCTGTTATATATATATGCCAAAACGCATCTTTTGTTTCTGGTTAGTGCTATGTGCCGAAGCTGAACCGATGGCAATAATGCCATATTGTCCTCGTTTCGAATGGCATTACTAAAATAAATGTTTTCTATTTGCCAGCCAATAATCTACATAAATATCTGTAACCATGTACAAACCTATCAGACATATTTGCATTGTAGAGCGAGTGCATCTCGTCCAGAACTTCCTTAACTAATACTTCCTAGGAATAAAACATATCTCAATCATTAATTCCAAAATAATGTTAACAAGATACTATGAAACGTACATTGAATGGCTGTATATTGGTACATAAATCTAATTCTGTTACAAGCTTGAATGCTTTCCTTCCATACATTTTTTATAGTATTTCTCTACCCTCGTGGTACAGTGGTATACAAACATTAAAGTTACTTGGTTATGTTGTTTTATGAAATATATTTTATGTTTGTATAAGAAAATTATTTTCTTGCTCGAATTCCACAGAACTATAAACAATGAACGATCAGTATAACAATGATGAATATCTTGAAATTATGTGTTGCAGTACAATGTAAACAAACTATTTACAGTCGGAAATAGCGACATCTACATACGCAATCATTTCTCCTAGCGACATCTTAATAATTTTAATCAAGTGTTGCGTGGTGTTGCGATTGAAAACCAAGGATCGTACTTAGGTTATGATTTTAACGATGTATACCGCGTAAATATATAACAAACATTTTATTTACGAAAATGTCGATGATACTTAGAAACTTTATCACAAAATTACAAATATATTCGCATCAAGCGGTTAGATTCTGTACAGCTGTCGCGAACGAACAAACTAGTCAAGCCATTACTCCGATCATCTCCAAGAGAAGCTACGAAGATGAAAATTTCTTTTTTCAAAAACCACGGCAAGTATGGTTAGAGAATTTAGATACAGTTGAAAGAAACAAATTGGGACTCGTGTTTCTGCATCCCGACGTTTATGGAGCTTCGCCACGCGTAGATATTATTCATCAGAATGTCGTGTGGCAAAGAAATTATCGTTTCGTGGTAATTACAAAGTTCTATTAATCAGGTTCAAAGATCATCGATTGTAAAATAACGATTATTAGCTATGAGAGATACAGAATACATTAATCAATGTTTATTTCAGTGCTATGCACATACAAAAACTCGTGCAGAAGTAAGGGGAGGTGGTAGGAAACCTTGGCCTCAGAAGGGAACGGGTCGTGCACGTCATGGAAGTATACGTTCGCCGTTATGGAAAGGCGGTGGTGTTGTCCATGGTCCTCGAAGTCCTACCCCACATTTTTATATGCTTCCCTACTATACCCGTGTTGCGGGTCTCACAGCTACATTATCCGTGAAACTTGCTCAGGATGACTTATATATCGTTAAAGATTTAGAAATTCCATCAGATGAACCTTCTTATGTGAATGATTTAATTGAAGGTAGAAATTGGGGTCCATCTGTACTTTTTGTTGATACCGAAGATATTATGCCTCCAAATATATCGGTAGCCACTGATACAATTAAACATGTTAATTTGATGCCTGTGTATGGTAAGTTTAGACCAAAGAAACTGCTATCGTTTTATCTATGTTGTATTCACGACTTACTTATATTCCAGGGCTAAATGTGTACAGTATGTTAAAACACAATACATTAGTACTGACTGAAAGAGCTGCACGTTTAATCGAAGACAAAATACTGTATCAATTGCACAGGCCAGATTATAGGAAACTTTCTAAGAAGTTCAAAATAAGTCAGCAATAAAAATAAAAGAAGGAATTATACAAATATCTAATGTTTGTCAATTTATATTTATTTTTAACAGTAAACAGTTTTCTTTCTTATGGTAGTTAGAAAAAGGTGTCAATAAGATTTACTTTCCTTCCAACTATTCAGTCCTATGAAATTCAAGTCCTAATTTTACAAAGGTTATTTTTTCTTTAGTATTGGCATGCTGGTCGATTTTTTGGGAATAGGCTGAAAGGTAAAATATGAGTTATAAACAAGAAAAAAAGCATTTGCTTGCATTTGTAGAAAGTTCTTACCATGGGGTGAGGATCGTAGCCTAACATTTTTTCGCGGATTGCCCATCTTAGACTCGCGTGTTTAGCTTCTCCAGGAAAGGATATCTGTTTCCATTCTTGCTGATACTTTTGATAAAGCGCAACTGGATCGGATTTTTTAATATTTGAACCTTTTTGAGCTTCCGGTTGTAATTTCCATGGTCTAATAACTGCAATAGCGAGTAGTAAAATTATTAATTTTTATATCATATAGCAGAAAAGATATCGAGCTCTTACATGACTTGACTCCAGAGCGAGAGGTTTTTGTGGACAATATACTCTTTGTTTGACTGCTACCAATACGTTCATGCTCCAATATATTTGGAGCACTCATAGGACGAACAGATTGCAAAGTTGTTAGTTCCTCTTGATGTGCTATATTATTATTTTTTGTTTTTACTTTATATTTTCTTGTCGTATAAGAATCCTGTTGCGACAAGTCGGGATATTTTTTTCTACTTTCTAAGCAACCAATACTATTTTCGTCATCATATAATACACTAGCAGGTTTAACATTAGAATAGTCAGATGCTTTTGTGGATTTTGTTTTTGTAATATTTATTTTTTCTTTTGTATCTGTGTGACTAATTCCATAATTTGTTAACTCCTTATTTTCTTTATTGCGTTTTCTTACTTGTTTTAAGCACTTTACCTTCACCTTGATGAGAGGTTCGTTATTGTAAGAATTAGAAGTGTCTGTAGATATTGTATTCTCTGTAGATTGAAACTCTTTTTTCCGTTCCCTAAGAATTTCTTTGATATCATTTTTTTGTTTATCAATTATTTTCTGTTTAATTTGTTCCTTTTTCTGTTGCTTCTCGCGTTCCTTTATTTTCCTGTATAACTTCAAATCTTTCAAAAATAATAGAAATTAGCATAGATGTTTAAAGTATTTAAATTACAACAATTACAAAATAAATAAAGGAAACATCGATTTCTCGTTACCTTTCATAAAACCTTTAAGTTGTTCGGCAGTTATTCCAACGAATCCCAGAGAATTCAGAAGAGCGAGAACCTCTCTTGGATCTTCGTTCATTATTGACAACGTAATATCGATTTGCAACAATATTGTACAACAATATAAACTATGACCGTTTGTTTTCGTACTTGTACTTACTATTTGAATACAATAGCTGATACAGTAACGTTCAAGTTAGTTGAAATCATGAATTACATACAATCGTATAGATGGCTATCGTCTAGCGACAATTATATGAACTAGAATGATTTTTATATAAATGTTAAAGAAATAATTGAACACTTATTTATAAGATATAGAGTTGCGTATTTTCAGGAATCGGACTAATTAATAAAAATAAATGAAATTTATTTGAAAATGACCAATCGTGACTCGACACGGTCGTCATCTATCGGTGGAGATGTTAACCAAGAAGAGCGGCTGAAAAAATTCAAAGTATTGGCGAGAAGTATTTTTTTATAATCGATTATGGAACCAGAGAAGATTTATACTCGGTGAAATCTTGTACAAATTACGCATACTTTAAAAAAGTTTTTGTTAAATTCACGTTGGTGAATAGCTTTATTATATAAATTCGTTGCAGGTGTAGACGTGCATTCTTCGAACAGTATAATCCGGTGGCTGCGCAGAACCTCACACCTGCGCTTGATTTAAGTTTAACGAAGCATGATTAATTGTGCAACAGCCCGAATAGAGGTCTTGGTTGAAAATGTTGTCGATAACGTACACAGTTTTTCTACTACTCGCAGCAACAATATCGAATCCTTTTCCAGGTAAATTCCTCCAGTTAATTTCTCCAATTTCACGTGTCCTTTATAATCATTTCAGGCGCGCGTCCGATGTTGCTATAACGAGACAAAATCATTCGGAATATACACGTTAAACTGGCTTGATGCAGAGGGTGAACCACCGTACTATTTCCAACTCAATTACACTCGGAATATTCAAGTTTATAATTATCTCTCTTGATATTGCATGATTATTATTTTTTTTAGAAAGTAGAACTTGTTTTTGTAAAAAAGAATGAAGAGAAGAATATTTTTTCAGACACACAAGCCTCTAGAATCGACGCAATGAATATACCACTTGTGGTGCGTAATAGTACTGGACCCATTGATCTATCTTGCGTGTACTACGTCGGATCAGAGGAGAATGGACTTGTAATAAAGTGGTACCATAATATGGATCAGATCTATCAATGGATCCCGCCAAGTAAATTTACACATAGTCGAACGTTTTAATACGAGTGAATTGTCATCGCTTAAATGAATTACAAAAATAAAAGAATTTAATCAAATAATTGACTATTGGTGTTGTACGTATATATAGTGCCGCCTCAGGACGCTGGAGTTATAAACGGATTCGTCGAGTATCCAGAGCAGGATCCCAATTCGAGATCCGTCATTCGTTTGAAAACGATCACCCTGGAAATGAGCGGAGAATACTCGTGCACGATCAGCACCTTCCAGGAGAGCGATACGATGAGTTCGAGAATGATCGTTTACGGTAATTTTATCAGCACTTTTAAGCACTTTTAAGCACTTTTTATTACGTTTGTTACGTTTTCGTTTCGACATATGTAGTATCGAAATTGCTGTGTACTTTCAGTACCGGAAACGGACGCGACCATCCACGTTTCCTCCTTCAACGAGACACATTTGAACCTGACGTGCGTGGCGAGCGGGGCACACCCGCGACCCATTCTAAAATTATATATAGAAGGCATCGAAATTGATGATTACTACGATGGAAACGAGGAAATAGAATTGTATAGGAAAGACATGTCGGTGAAACGTACGGCGTTTGTCAGTAATATTTTTGAACCAATAGTGCTGGACTGCGAGATTTCCATTCCGCACACGGATTACAAGAGGAGGGAGAGGATCGTTTATTATCCTGGTTCGAGTCGATCCTTTGAAATTCCATAACAAATTAAACAAACACACATTTCATTTCATCTAAAATCGAAAACTCTAGTAATAGTTTTCCATTATACTACCACCTGGTCGTTTGTGTATACCTATACATATAATTATTCTTTGTTTGTTTCAGTTCGATCTCTATCGCAAATCAGCACCGCGACAACACGTCACATAACGTCCCTAAGCATTCGCGCAATCATTATTATTTCCTGTACATTGATACTCCTATTAGCGTACTAACAACGTTAACGTTATAATAACGCGTAATCCTCTTTTCCTTTTTACCCCTTTTTATATTCAAATAGATTCCTTCGATCCCTTGTCACTTTTTCAACAAAGTTTAGTCAAAGTATCTAGCGTGCTCGTCCCATAGTAATATGGTATTTCGACTCGGAAATTTCTGAATTTCTGAACATTATATCGAGGCAGAAAATGCGATTGCGTATGCGTTAAGGATGAAGAAGGCGACGACGACAGGGGAGGGGATCTCTATATCTTGAGGTAGCGGTCGTAGCGATCGGATTATCACTTGGTCTCCGACGTTCATCCGTGGAGGATTGGTGAGTTGATATCCTTACGATCAGTATTTCACGTTAAACGTTACGATATTTCCCTTAGACGTATATTACAGAGCGTACAAAGTTTATTCTATAAATTTAAAAAATTACACGCGTTTTATATTCTATCGCTTTTTTTCTCTTGTCTATTTTATTAGATTACTATAGTTTCTAAAATAGAGAATATGACAAGAAAAATATTAATTCATTTTAGCAAAAGATGTTTCTGATAAATACTTGGAATAATTTTATACACATTCTTGTTCAAGGAAACCTCTTACTGCACGCACACACTTGTTGCACTCAGCGGTGGATTACCATGAAGATGAATTGTATTTGCGTGATCCTGTTTCTTGCAAGTAAGCGATATCACTATTTTTTACGCGAAGCTGACAATGAGACGATGTTTTATAAAGGCTTGACTCGAAGACGTTATTATATGTATTCCCCGAAAAATATTCTTTTTCTATAGAAAAATTCATATAGAATGAAATCTAAACGAATGAAATTTCATTGAAATATTAATTAATTTATAGTTCAGAGTGAATATATCTTAATCAGTTAGTAAAAACAGGAATATTCTGATAATCACGATGCGGCTGTTGCGTCAAAGGATTCTAAAACAGACGAGATCGTCAATCACACGATAATCTCTTCTTCAAGGAGATAATCCCATCAAACAGTGCATTATCTAAAGCAGCCGAGTATTCTATTCATCGTTGGTGTTCTTGTTATCTAATATATAGAATCTCGTCGGAGAGTACGATTAATTTGACCGTATTTTCTTTTTAATCGCAAAACCTCAACTTCAAAGTCAATGATTTTAAAGTTCATTCGATCGATAATATATATATATATATAGATCCATATGTCTGGAGAATCTCTAACACAGGATGTTAGGTGAAAAATGTTAAAAGTTTATGAAAGTCTGATCGAGTTATGCATTACTTTGTGCGTCATATAAATTCAGTAACTTGTAATTACTTGCTTAGCATTCATTTGAAAGTGTAGGAGTTCTGTTGCGGCGTCCATAAATGCATCTCTTTGGACTATGTAAATTGTATGAAAATAAGAGTGTAACTTGTGTGTTACAGTATGCGCGTTATGGACCTTTGGGGAAACTTTATCGTGCGACCAGTGCGGAAGGGAGTGCGCAAACATATGCGGTACTCGACAGTTTCGTGCTTGCTGTTTTAACAACATGAAGAAAAGGCAATACGATACCGGAATTAAATTGTGGACGAAACCACGCCGATATACGGTACAGCAATTCTACCCGGATTACGATGCGCAATAATTATTTATCAATAGCGCCGTAACCTGTGTGCTTCAATTTTATAAAATTGCACAGAATTCTTTTTACTTCTGTGTCGACGTGCTTTACTCAATTTCACGATGTTATCAAACTATATATACTCAGGGATAATTTATAATTTTACGATATTAATTACTATAAAAGTATTTAACATATTATTAATTTAATTATTAAATGTCTAACCGATTAAACACGCGAAATACTTTCCTGCTGAACTTCGTTAATTAATGGAAACCATTATAAATGTGCGATCGTTGATGGATTTACGTTTATTTCGTCAAAATAAAATACTTTATACAACATATACATTTATTTTAAAGCGTTTCTTAGTCGATTTTTACACATAGTCAATATTTTTAAATGTTTACTATACATGCATGATAAGTTGAATTACACTATACATATGTTAACCAACGATGTATACGTTTGATCACTTTTTTAAATAAAATTGACTGATTTATTTCATCAGAACATGCATCCAATTTGTTTAGTTGTTTTTTACTTTTATTTCTAATCATGTTCCATTGTAGTTTATCCAAACCAGGGTATGACTCCTTGTTTAAAAGCTCCGTCAAGTCTCTCTTATTGTTAACATTGTCTATTGTTAATAATTTTCGTGCGTGCTTCTTTTTTAGAGGCACCATAACATTCTGGTCTTGTCTTATACTTGTACCTACATCTTCTGTATCGTCAAAATAAATTTCCTTATTATCCTTATTTTGATGATTATCGTTATCATATGCTTCAGTATTTGGTTTGGTATGAATTAAGTTGTAAGCACGACGATCTATAACTTCTGCAAAATAACAATTGTGCTTAAATATATGACTACAATGAAACCTAATATTAAGCATTCAATTTTTATACCTCCTGTATCATCATTAGGAAATCCATTTTTCTTTTCATTCTTAGTTACAGTACTAACGTTTCCCTCCTGTTCGCGTGAAGTTATATTTTCAAGATCTGTTTCTTTACTATAATCATTCGCATCTAATGCTATGTCTTCCTCAGAGTCATATTCACGTAAAGTGATTAATTTAAACATTGTAGTTCCTAATCCATGATTGCTAGGGACACTATATAAATAAAAATTATTTAGCTATGAAAATTTATAATAGAATCAATTGTATTTGTAGTTTTTATACTTGCTTTGGTGTAGGCTCATCTATCCATGGTAATGCCAACCATTCGTCCAAGTTGCTCGGAGTTTCATACTCTTTGGGAAGCCAGTTCAGTCCACAGGCTTTAAATAATTTTAAATACTCGTACAAGTCGTTGTACCATGTACAAGTTCTTTTAATAAGATGCCTTGATAAAATCCTACAGAAAACTAAACATCTTACTAAATTATGAATAATTCATGAATTTTCATTAAATGATGGAAAAGTCACATACCATATTCTACAAATAACAGCATATGCAACAATAGCGATAGTCCATGCATGACCTAAACCTATTCTCTTTTTGAGGAAATGTGCAGCATGCTTTGAGGTTTCTTCTACACGTATCATGAGCTTTGCAAAGCCTTGAGTTCTCACCAAAACATATTGTACCATCTGTTTACTAGGTAATTTAACGTATTTATCGTCTGTATCAATGTAGTTTCTTAAATTTTCATATTCCTTTTCAAGAGATATGGAAACATAATTGAGCAGAGCCCTGTTTACTTTAAACATCTCTTTAACACCTTTGTCGTTTCGAAATTTACTTTTCATACGATAAATCAACCTGCTTAAGATTGCTGCCTCCTTGTGCAACAATTCTTGAGAACTTAAATCCTTTATAGCTTTTTCTAAGACCGTTTGAAACTTTATTGAATCTAAAAATGGTAGCAAAAAAGCAACTATTACATTACAATACTTTCATCATAATCTTTTGGTAGGTGAAGAATAAATCAAAACATGTTTTACCAAACTTTTCACGTTTGATGTAGCAACTTGCATTTGGTGGACGTTCCAAATGCATGCGATTCCATACAGCTTCCATGCTGATTATTTATTTGAGATTTATTCGATTCCTAATGTAAACTATTTGCATGCCAAGGAAATCAAAACATAACCTTGCTTTTCCCACGTGAATACATTCAAATGATATACATATATATATATATAGAACCGGATAGAATAATAATATTACTTTTGGAATTAGAATTGGATAGAATGAAGTATTTTACAATGGACAAACAAATATTGTACTGTTCAATTGAATAAATGGTCACGACTAAATTGCTATGCATCAACTTTATTCATCATCTATTATTCGAGCATATTCGAGTATCTATGTATATAAGTAAATATCAGATTCTACTGTCGCAATAAATTATCATTCCAGGAGAATCGGTAGGTCTGATAGGGACAGGTCGACATAGTACAGGTGAATTCGGTGGAGGACCAAGGGGAATTAATTTATTTATTCCGAAATACTTGAAACCACCCTGCACTATAGGACGATACATTAAATTTGTCCATGGCGTGGCACCCCACGGTGAATTTGCCGGTTGTATAAACCTTTAATAAGGAACTTGAACATTTTAGCAAACAGATGAGTGAATCGAGTCTGCTTACACAAACTCCTCACCTCACTGCCTTTATCCGTTTAATGGGGGGATAATACTCTTGGCAGGATTTATGTCGTTCTGTATTTAGTAGAGGCCAATTGCAAGTTGTTGTCGTGCAACTGGATCTACTTACGTGGCCTCGGGGGCAGAGGCTGCAGGGTTCTTTTTCCATTACGATTTGGGAAACGTTTACTTATTAATTTTCAATCTAATAATGTTCAAAATTGTATAGAAATAACAGGAAAATAGTATAACAGGGAAAAGACAACCTACATGATTTAGAAAATGTGATCGTCTGTTTACTATACTATAATATATGTAAAAAATGTATATCCATATACACGTGTTTAAGATCGATTTTTCGAAATAATAATGATAATTTCAAATGTTTGTAAATATTATTATTTTTTTTTTTTCAGTTGTATTTTCTATTTCATGTAAATCGCCACCTAGCGGTGAACAGGCCAAACTAATTTTCAGAGTATGGTCAGGGCCTCTATCGGGAAAACGCTCAAGTTTGTCCTCGATTAGTTCCTCTTATTATTGTTAGACGGCGGTATTTTCGTTATCTTTTACCGACACAGTCGGTACATTACCACCATGTCGGTAAGAAAGAACACCAACTAAAATTGCGATAGTGGCGCCATCTAACAGTAATAAGAGGAACTAATCGAGGACAAACTTGAGCGTTTTCCCGATAGAGGCGCTGACCACACTCCGAAAATTAGTTGGGCCTGTTCACCGCTAGGTGGCGATTTACATGAAAGACAAAATAATTCCCCGAATATATATAAAAAATATTTATCAATTAATTTATGGTAAACGTTGTAAATGATCATTTCTCAAGGTCACAATTAATATTCCATATGCTTTATTTAAACGACATATATATAAATGTATTCAAATGCAAGGCTACATATTTAGCAATAATATGACAATCCAAGTGGTTGTTGTCAAATTATTTTGTTTGTAAACATTCCAGCTCTTTTCACAGTATGACATAGCGCTGACAAATTTAATTATTAAGATGGACGTGCTAGGTATCGGTGCACGTGTCAGGTAAAGAGTTAGCTAGAGACAACAAACAGGTGGTGAACAAGGATAATACTTTATGGTTCCATTATAGAACAGGCCACCAGTAGTGACACGTGTTCTTACAACAGGTCCAAATTCGGGAGGAGCGGGCACTGGCTTAGGTATGGGTGCACTGGTAACACACGGATAACAACAACAGGGTGGGCACATGAAAGGTCGTGGGGGGCAGGGTAACGGGGGTGGGCAACAGCTAACAGGCGGTGGACAATTTTGTTGGCATGGGCTAGGACACGAGGAACAACAAATAATAGGTTCTGGGGAACATGAAGTGAGGCATGGTGGGCATTGTGGTTCCATCGGGGGGCAACAACCGCAACTGAAACAAACTCCTGGTCAAATAACTGTTAAATATGTAACGAAACCATTGTACCTTTCAATCATCCTTCTTAAATCTTTCTTGTTGTAAGAACGATCGCACCTTACTACCACCGACATTGTTGATTTATCACAGTAATTATATAATTGTAAATTTTGTCAAAATTTCCGAACAAAGAAGGAGCTTAAAGTAAAAACGTGAAATCAGTGATTAAAACAACAGAATGGTATATTGATGAACGATTAATTGTACGATTAAATATAGACAAGTTCAGTTGGTCACGTAAAAATGAAGTCTTGATAATTAATATATTTTATTCATATAATCGCTGTATAAATTGATTAAGGAAGCCGGAGTTCGAGGAGTAATTATAGCCAGTGCTGCTTTAAAATGTTCCTTAGTAATTATAGCTGCGTTCAAGTCTTCCTCGAGTGCCTTCATGGCGGCTTCGTGACATATAGCTTGGATTTCCGCTCCGGAATATCCTTCTGTAAGTTCGACTAGATCTTGAATATTTACATCCTTGGCGATCGGCATGTTTCTTAACTTTATATCGAATATTTCTTGTCTAGTTTCGTAGTCGGGTAATGGCACATATATTATACGATCTAAACGTCCAGGACGGAGGAGTGCCTAAGGAAAGAATGTTACGATCAATGAACGGAAATTCATAGAATGTAATAATTCTGTAGACTTTTACTGACTTTGTCTATTTTATCAGGTCGGTTAGTGGCTGCCACTAACGTAACGCTTCCTAACGCGGTGACTCCATCGAGTTCTGTTAACAATTGCGATAAAACTCGTTCTTGTACGTTACTTCCACCATTGGCAGAAGAAGTTCTTTCGCTCCCCAGAGCATCAATTTCATCGATAAACACTATAGAAGGCGAAACTTGTCTGGCTTTTCTGAACACCTCTCTCACAGCTTTCTCGGATTCACCGACCCATTTTGAGAATAACTCTGACCCCTGCAAATAATTCCGCACGATAGAATATGTTTATAAAATCGTTATTAATTAATCGTCAATCATCGTATACGTTACCTTTATATTTAAAAAATTGACTTTGCTCTCCGTTGCGAGGGCTTTTGCAATCATCGTTTTAGAACAACCAGGTGGACCAAACATCAGAACACCTCTAGGTGGAGTAATACCCATTCTTTGAAATGCTTCGGGGTGACGTAAAGGCCATTCTACCGCTTGTTTCAATTTTAATTTTAAATCATTTTGTCCTCCAATGTCCGACCACCGTACGTTGGGTACTTCTATTAAAACTTCTTTCATTGCAGATGGTTTTGTGACAGTCAAAGCGTGATTAATATCGGGTAGCGTTACTGTCAACCAAGTATCAGAGTCAACGTTTGTTTTCTGTTCACGCTTTACGGCATTTAGAACTGCGTGAGAACATAGACCATACAAGTCTGCACCAACAAATCCATGAGTAACGAACGCGACGTTCGCTATGTCTTCGTTAGACAAAGTGTTTGGTATTTTCGATAACAGTTTACGAAGTATTTCACTTCGCATCGTTGGAGTAGGCACATAAATTTCGAATTCTTTGTCTATTCTTCCGGGTCGTCTAAGAGAATTGTCAACCGAGTCGAGTTTCGAGGTCGTAGCTAATATTACGACGTTATCGTTCGTATTTTGAATATCGTCGAAAAGTGTGATTAATTGAGCGAGAACCCTTCTTTCATGATCCGTGGTCGATGTACTCCTTTTAGGGCATAAACTATCAATTTCTTCGATTAAAATAATACTTGGAGCATTGGCTTTGGCTTCCATGAAAATATCTTTTAATTTCGTTTCTGTTTCGCCAAGGGATTTACTGTAAATATCTGAACTGTAAATAGTAAAAGAATTAAGATCATATTCGGATATTAAGGCACTGGCAATGATCGATTTACCGACACCGGCGGTACCGTATAATAATATTCCTTTACTAATGTAAAAATCTCCTATACTTTTGCATCTACCAAGACCAACATTAAGAACATCTTTAATGTCTTCTATCACAGCGTCGTATCCACCGATATCTTGTATTTGATATTTATGTCTCTTATGTACAGCTTCCTTTTTTTCTAGCTCTTTGTCAAAAATAGTCCACTTTGTGTTATAAAGTGCTTTATGAAATGGTATGCTACATGTTTCATTCGATGTTAATTTTAAACGATTTAATTCCTCTGATAAGTTAGTATCTGCACATTTGTCAAATACAACTGTGAGAACCTTATACATTAATTGTTTTCCATAAAAAGGCACGCTAAGATTTTCACCCACAGAAAATATTTTCTGCTCGTTATGGTTTTTCAATACTATGTTCAGTTCCGTAGTTACTTCTGGCAATGAATGTTTCCCAACACTGATGATAACAACTTCTTTGGCAATATAAACAGGATAGTTGAACTTGTAAATCTTAACAAGACCTCGAAGATTATTTAATTCGATAGCTGCAAAAAATATATCTACAGGAAATTTCTTATGTATAATGGGTGAAAGAATATAGTATAAAGTTTACCATGTTTTGTTAACGAAACACTAGTCAAGGTTTTGTCTTTGGTTGGCCATACAATTTTAACAACCATGTTACCCTCTGCAGCTACCACAACAGAGTCTCCTATTGGAATGTTGCAGAGTTGTAAAGCCGATTGGGAAACAAATACCATATCGTCTAACGTTTTTTCAGAAATAGTTGTTGACTGTTCTATGCAAGAAATATACATGTGAAAATGCAGTAAAATCTTGATTTATTCGATTCCTGTTCCTTTCAATCGATCTGGTAACTTAACGTCTCTAATTGTGCACATACCTTGTGATTTGTATGTGTTTATGGTACTATATAAAACATCATTGTAAATAAAATCATGTTTCCACGCGTTCATATTGGGTGGACAATTATCTTGATGCTTGGCTACATCTTTTTGCGTCAAAGTAATTTGACATTTTTCGCACGTCACCCAAGAAGAAAGACTCTTCCTTCCACTTTCTTTCGATTTCGAACTCATTCTAAAGAAAACGACATACCGTTACGATATAACTCCATTGATTCTTTATAAAACTACTATATACATAAACATTTCGCTATGTACACATAACCTACAAATTACTCGTAAGCGTTTCACATCCAATATGAAAAAAACAGAACTTACATTTCTGTAGAACACGTAGAAATGCGCAAAAACGTTTTCAACGATCGCTACAATTCTTACAGCTAGTCTATGTATAATACCAATGTAGAATAATAAAATTTTATAGAAGTATTTATATACAATGGAACACCGCACATCAAACCACATTTGTCAGATAACGTACGATCCAGAAAGATAGCAACAAGTTTTTCCGGTTTTTCAAACGATTTTAGATGTCTAAAGAGATTGATAATAAATAACTATAAAATGTATGTTTAACATACTCGTGATAAATACAAGGATGTACATAATGTATGTAATAAAGAATGGAAATAATTTCATGAATGTATAAATAACATAAATAATGCATTGTTTAATTGGACCTATTGTATTTAGGGAATTAATCTACTTTGGAATGGAGGAAAGATTGAAAATGTTCAGATACGTAATATTAATTTGTTTTGATACAATGTGACGTATAATGTTTATAGAAAATGCGTAATAGAATGTTGAGGTAAGTCGCGCGCTGTGCAGCGCTTAGTGTTTGGTCGAAAATCAAGGCGGGTTGGATCGTTCAGGGGCAAAAGGAACCACTATACGTTACCCCCTGTAGGACTGCAACCCGTCTTGACACTGGGACAAACACTCTGCGTTAGACTAATATGTACTAGTAACGTTAAAATGCTTGGCTGGCGTTTTGTTATTCCGAAAGTGTCAATACGGATACAGAGAAGTCGAAAGAAGTCAAGGTCCGAATATCGAGCACTCTTTTCAACTAACTTGAACATTAATTTGACAGATTGTCGAAAATTTAAAAATATCTTTCAAAAGGATGTTTACACACTGATACCGATATCTTGGTAAGAAAATAGTGGAATGATTATTTGTAAAAATTGTGATCTTTAAATTGCAAGTTGACAAGAGGAAAAGAATACACGTACAGCATACTTGACATAGGATAGTAGAATTTTTGAATGCGCAGACGACTGGTCACGGCAGACAGAAGATAGAAGCGAGTGGGTATCGGGGGAAGAGCAACGAAGGGAGATAAAAATTGGACGAGGGCTGGAATGTTGAGGTTTGCATGGAGACGAGATGAATCATGTTCGGCGGAGCATAAAATCAGCATGATCGGTCGGCGGGATCGGCAGGATCGGCAGGATCGGCGGGATCGGCAGGATCGGCGGGATCGGCGGGATCGGCGGGATCGGCGGGATCGGTGGTGAAGCAAGAGGGAAAAGACCCGATGGATGGACGGACGGGCCAGCCGTCACGAAGCGGGCCGACGTTCCCGTACCAAACGAGATTAATAGAGATCCGCCTGTCAGCCGGACGCCTCTCCGTCTGAGCGAGATCCAGCGGCTTCCAGACGGCCAGTCTTCTCGCAGATCGCAACCTGCGTGGGCAACAACCGATCGTGATCGATCGCACGGTGCGTCTGTGCCTCTGGACTACCGCATATTATTGCATGCGTCGAGTACGTGCCAGTCCAACGGTATTGCGTGTACCACGTATCATCTAGTCATCCGGGCGACACGTTGTAGAGCAAATGAGAATATAATCCGTTGTGACGAATTAGCCACGACCAGTCCACGACCGTCGACGGGAACGCTTTGCCCAACCGTTGCTCCCGTTGACAGATATCGTCGGCCGTGCAAACACGCCGCTTGCTTTTCCACGGCGAGGCATCGTGCGTTCACGTTTGTACATAGAGACACGTTCGTTCACCGAATAGAATCGTTGTCCTGGACACGGGTAAATCGCGTTCGATCCGTTACGCACGCCGCCGTTCGTACCGATGCGAATAAGAATCACGAGGGGTCGGTGGGCCGTATTCGGTGGCTTCACCCTAGTTTGCCTCGTCAATTTCCGACTAGGTAGGCACTCGTCGCTCTATTTTCTATCTGAATCCGCCACTATGCCTCCCCCTTATATCACCTCACATCGAGTTTTTCGCGTGATCGTGTACCTCGATCATTTTTCAGACCGTATCTCAGCAATTCCATGCTGATCCCTCGTACGAAAGTGTGCTGTATCGGTGTGATCGGGCCGCGCGAGACGACCACGCAGGGATCGGCATTTATTCGAATAAACGCGAATACTAATAACAAGTGTACCGAGTATAGTCGATGTTGTGGTATCTTTAATTTTGCCGATTTCTGCGCCGACGTCTCGAAGGAACGGTAATCCTCATTCATCGTCGCCAACGGGGGCACGTTTCTGTTTCAGCCTGCTGCGATAAGAATTCCAACGAGGGGAGGGTGCGCAGAGAGGAGGTACGGCAACATGTGTGCTGCGCGAGACACGAGAGGATGATCGACGTCGGATACGGTAAGCGAATTCGCAAATATTAACACTAAACTTACCACTCACCACTTACCGTTTATTACCGAGTATAGAAATATTGCACTGCGAGGTCATCTCTGGCGTGATAAAACTATTCTTTCCTAGAGCTCTTAACGCTTAACTTTACAGTGCGAAAGATTAACGACAGGACAGCTTGGACTACAGAGTATGCAGGGCCACCGAGGTCGAGGGTGCCAAGGGGCTTGCGGAATTTTAGCGAGCGATCAAGTGCGAATTAGAGTTGGACAGTAATTGCTTTTAAAATAATCTTTCTACCTCTTCCATCATACTTTATATTTCCATTTTCCCTGACAAACCGTACCATAGAACAAAGATCGTCGCAGTGAACTTATCGGTACATAATAGCGTTGATCACGACGATCGATTGCATTTTGCCCAACACTTCTGTGAGTCACGGTTCCCTCGTTTCTCGTTTCGCCGCCCCACGTTCATGAGTGATAAAACGCTGGTGGCCTTGCCGCTAGATCCGATCCGGTAAATTAATATCGGGTGTTGAATCAATTGACGCCGATCGAGAGAATGGAGCATCCGGTGACGGAACGCAGCGGTCTCGAATCCCAAAAACGTATTTTTTGTGTAGAGGCTTTACAGGACGTTGATCACGAATTCATAGTGAAAATGTGAAAAAAGAAGATTGTGTATCCTATACAGGAGGAACAAATTTTAAGCATTGCAACTATTTCGATAAAAATTGGAGTGGTGGGATTTTAGGGGATGGTGAATGGTAATGTGAAGGGAAGAGTATAGTACTATTTTTCGAATTTTCATTATATTTTCGGGATTTCGAATCGTTGTGGCGGTTGTTCCCGCGTTCGAAAAGATGGCGGCGCGGCGCGGCGCGGCGTGACGACTCGAGGACCGTCGATGTCGGGATCAATCTCGTTGCGGTTCGGTTTTGTCGGTTCGTAGAGATCAATTAGCGCCGCGACGGACTCTGCGACGCGCAGAATGTTTCGTACTCCCGCGGATCAAAGAGTTAACGTTTCGTCGAACCACCGCACCGTTCCGCGAAACGCACCAAGGAACAACCGCCCTTCGAGTCGGAATCAATTGTCAATTAAGCGACCTTGTTGATCGCAGTGACCTGTTGCCTCCGATACCCCCCAGAAACATTCCTACAACATGCTTTCGATCTTCCGGCGAGATCGTGCCATTCCTTTCGTTACAGCCCACGGAGCCAGGCCTTTGAAAAATAAGAAAAAACAAATTACAAACGGAGAAAAAGCAGAAAGCTTTCTTAAGCTACGTGCATTGTCTTTGGAATGGTACAGACTGAACTAACAGGCGAGAACTATGGCAACGATGGAAATGCTAAGAGTTGTATTATTGCACTAAATAATTAAATAAATAATTGTTGATCGTGGTGTGGAAGCACGAGTCGCGTGACTCGGACTGTATACACGTTGCGTTCGCGTGTCTACTAGATCCCTGTCGATAATGCCATTTATAGGAAGAAACGCGGAAAGGTACGAGGGTGTACGCGAAAGTCCAGGGCAACGTGAATCACTGTGGAATCCTCGCATTCCGCGTGTCCCACGCGTTCGCGCCAAAAATAGCACGGTTACACTATAGACGGTTCTACCCCCTTCTTATATCTTGTCAACGTTGAACGCGGTACAACTCATAAATTTCTTACGGCGTTCGCGCGAGCATTAACAGCGGCGCCATCGGATTTACACTGGCGTCTCATTTTTCGCCGGCAAGCGACGTGGCGCGGCGCGCAGTAATCGACGACACCGCCCGTCGTCGCGACGCGGTCGAAATTTGATTGAACCGCGGTTCCAAATCGATTAAAAATCACATCAAAACGATGCTACTTTATTTATCTGATGTTGTTTTTTTTTCTCTTACTTTCAGGAGTGTCGGGAGAGATTATCCAGATCGATGCTGGCCACTGTCGCAAGTTATGTCCGCGACACGTTCTAGACGATCCTGGGGACGCGAGTCAACCCATGGTGCAGGTAAACAGCTTCCTTCATATTTCTTTATTTACAGCCAAAGGCAGTTCTCTTCTGTAAAAGAGTATTCGTGTATTCAAAGTCTCTATTTAATGTAAATTATACAAGTATCATCTTGTAATACTTTGAACACATTATCTTCAGAAGAGGTATAAGTACGTTCGAGAGTAGTACAGAGGTGTCATTCGTTTGCGTCATAAGCAGTTGCTCGTAGGTTTCTTGTTGAAATCCAAATCTCACTTATCTTGATTTTCCTCTAGATATATTCGTGCTATTCTACCTCTCTGCTAGACCCATTCTTCAGTCTGTAATAGAAATATTTCGAAGTCAAGTTCTCTATTTTCAGCATTTCTCAAATAAAGTATTATTATTAAATTCGCGATGCTAAATAAAAATGAGTATTTACATATACATATACATATACGTTTATATAACGAGTAATAACGAGAGCGCGTTATTCGCGCAAAGATTTATTCCAAGTTATTGGCGAACAACGTGATCGGTGATTCACGTCTGGAGGATGCACCTGGTGCAAAAACTCCGTGGGTCGAGGGTCCCGCTGCCTCGGCGAGCCGAGCACAGTGGACAAAAATGAACGTCGCCGTCGTCCAAGTTCGTCGAACCTGGTCGTTAGGCTCGTCGATTTCACGTCTCGGAATCATGGCGAGATTCGTGGTGGTTTGAAAAAGTTCCAACCGAAAAAACGTGCTTCGCTAACCGGAATTCGTTGAAACGCAGAAGAAACACCACTGGACGTCGTGCGTCGTAGAATTTCTGACCGTGCAAAAAGCGAGGAGTCGAGACGGGGGGGACTCCGAATTCGCCAAATAAAAAACGATACACGGCGATACACGTTGCCGCGGCAGGTTACGTGTGCCAAGGGCTACGCGAAGGGCGAAAAAAGGCTGGGACGTCATGTAGATTTATGACGCCACGGGATCGACCAATCCGCCAGCTGGAATGCGGCCACGCCAGCATCGCGCGATCATACGATCTTTCTTCGCGACTTTTACGGCGAGTGCACCCCGTACGTCGCGGCGCGCCGCGCCGTATAGAGACACGTGTGTATTCCACAACGATGATTTTACACGCGTGTTACGTTTTAGGGCCATTTCGGACGAGACGCTGTGCTGGCTTCTGGGACGTGTTTCGCGCGTTTTACGTCTCTAGGCCGGTATACTCGAGGATCGAGGGAATCGAAATGTCGATTCGGATGTAAACAAATCTTTTAATCGATGCAAAATCATTTGCAAATGCTCACCTGTTGATATCGATCAAGAGTTTTCCTACCTCTGGCTTACGAACTTGACTCTTAAACTTTGATAATTAATATCATCAAAATTACAGCTGAATGGCACAATAGCTTCGGGGGTTACGATGTATGTTATCTATAGAATAACCGTCTAAATCTTCATCAAAGTCCACCACCCCATAGACGCGATGTTCCCTTGTTAGATGATTGTTCCACATTCAACTTGAAAATTGTCGAGACCAAACCACCAGCATTTATTTTGCTTGGCACGGGACACACGTGGTTGTGATAATTGCAATATTGATTCGATAAAGCCAAGTTAATAAAGAGTGAGTTTTCTAGTCTGGATTTGTTGGCAATTTGGGAAGGGCCCTTTGGAGATGCGTTCGTTTCTTGTCCCCGCTGTGAGAGAGCTATTTTCGTCACGTGATGCAACCCGATCGGTAGTTTACGATCTTGCAAGCACCCACGGCACGCCGCGGGAGAGAAACAAGCTCCGCGGAGAAGGAGAAACGATTGCACGCGATATGCAGAACGGGAGGATATGTGTTTTGCGTCCTTGGAAGGTCGTATAGCGCCGGGTCACCGATCCGGCGCCGGCTTGGCCGGCTACTAAATCCCGAATCGTGTTCCTGGGACCGCGAGGATGGATGTACCTGAGAGCAGAATTTATTAGAAAATATTCTTGGCCAGAAATATCGTGGCAGGGCGGGTGGTGGGATTAAAAGGCCGCGAAGGAGGCAGGGGTAAGAGCCAAGACTGCTTGCAAAAGATAACGGTCGGTTATCCCGCAGCGAGGATAATTAACATTTTGCCCACCGTACACTCCACCGTCAACTGCACGCAATAACGTGGCTTGACAAATTTCTACAACTCTCGCGATACCAGGATTAACGACAACAAATTTTTCAAATTATACTTGTAATTTATCCGTTGTCGCAGAGATGCTTCCCGGAGTCGCATTGTCGTCCAAGGGCCTCGAAACTAGAGAGGGAGTCGACGATTCAAGGTGTTCGCGTGATCGAAGTCATAGAAGCCTGCGAGTGCACGCCGGATTCGTCCTGTAGACGAGAATCCCTGACGCATCTCGTCCATTCCGGCACTCCTCATCAAGCAGTGATGGATGTTGGAGTGTGCATGGGCCATTGTCCTAAAGGTATTATACAATTTTTGCTTTATTATTCCCGTGTGGTACGGGATTTACTCTCAACTTTTCTCCATAATATCTATATCATTTTCGGAAGATCTCGGATGCAAACCACTGAGGAACAATACGGTTAGCATCAAGGGCCCCAACGGTACGTAAAAGACTCGTCGTATGCGGAGCATCGAATGAAATTCAGACCAAAGAGGACAAATTCTTAATAAATAAATTACATCGCGAAAACAAATTAAGGACGTATCCGACATTTATCCTAGTATTGCCTAGTCATCGCCTGACCTCAAACTTCCAGGCTAATTTGATTCGGTGCCCCCCATCTAAGCATGTCGAACACATGGTCCGAGCCATTGGACAACACGTTGCACTATTGGTACATGCATTTCAACAAACATTTCTGTTTCGAATAATCTTTTTCACAGAATTTTCTGTACGCAGAATGTCCATAGACGTCTATCGACGGGTTAAAAACTTGAACCCTTTAAACGATCCCTGTCTCAAACAGGTCAATAAAATGCTTCGAAGGAACATGATTGTTTTGTTTACCAACGTGCAGTTGGTCGACTCGTTTTCATACTGTGCGTCAAAGTGCAAAATTGGTCCTCGGTCAAAATGAGTTTGACATGCCCCCGTAACGACCGGAAACGTCTCAGCGGATGTGACGAACGCATTAATTTTTTTTTAGGGGACGAAGTGTACCAGGTGATCGAGAAGTGCGGCTGCGCCGGTGCTTGCCATAAAATGGACCACATGGAGACCGTCCTGGACTTTAGCGAAGTCGAAATCAAGGACGGCACGAATACGACGGATGTCAGGCCGGTCGTTCGAGTAAGTTTCCCTTTCTTTAGCTGGTCTAACGACTTTGTAATGCCACGGTGCGGTTTCTTCCAGCAAATCAACGTGGGCAAGTGCGTAGGGACGTGTCCGGGGAACGAGACGGAAATGTGCCTTCTACGGGACAAAAAGGAGCCGTCGAGGTGCGTCGCTGCTCTGTACTCGAAGGAACACAACTGCAACCCGGCCAGATTCAAAGTTCACGAGTACAGGTATTCCACGTTCGTTTTGGTCGCTGTTGTTATAAAATTTCCATACATTTCATGAATAATTTTGGTAAAAACGTATATCGCCGACTCGGTCCAATATCCCAATGTCTGTTCAAATGCGAGTCCTATCGCTAAAAAGTTGCCAAGACCTAATTCGTAATCGTCAAAGGGTTTCTCGACGCAAGGTTCACGCGTATGACTGACTGTTGTATGGTTTCAGGACTCGTCGAGGATCAAAGAGGGAGATCATTCAAATCACTCAGTGTGCCTGCATCTAAATTGGAGCAGAGAGAATCAAAGGAGCCTGCTCGATCCGACGCGACGGACCAGCGGAACATAACGATTTAAACTATTTTACGCGTTGCGTAATCGCAAAGTACCGTTTCAATGTTCCTACATGCACTGTGTATTACTATGATCAATAAACGTACCATGACTTTTTAGAAAAATAACGATAGATATCTACGACGAGTCTAAAAACCAACAGAATTTTACGTAATAAATCTTCTCACCTTAGCGTAGTATTTAAATTACGATAGAACAATATGTAGAATAGAATTTGACTTTTTGAAAGATCCAAAGCGAAAAGACCGATCCTCCGAGGAAACCAGAATTAGTTTCGCAGCATTATCGGTAATTCCTGCGACGCAGAATCTCGTGCGCGCTATAATTCCACGAAGACTAAACTAGGATTAGACTTGGCGTACGAGTTTTGCTGGATCGTTAGATGGGCTGTAGAACGATACGGGAAACTATACGTACCACGAATTCGACGCGCATTTCAGGCAAAAGGGGCGCCAATTGACAGCAGCCAATTTCACGGTTACAGCCATTGGCTCCGGCTCGTTGTTCTCATTCCGCGGTACCCCGCTCGCGCTCGCACGAAATAAATGCAATAAAAAGAACGAGGTCGAAGTAGCGCTCGATCTTTGAAAGCGTGGGCGAAAATACTCGGTGACATCCTCCTCGCGATCCGTCATCGTCCACGCGTAGGAAAACAACCGATTATTCGCGACATCTAAATATCGCCGCTGGGCCACATAACTCCCCAGTTACGAATCCACGGAATTTAGGAAGCGTGAGCTTTTTTTAATAGCCCCGCGGTGTCATCATCTCGTTCCTCGTCCGTTTCGTTTGCCTCTAAAAAAAATATCGTACAATCATTCAACGCGCCCTCCTCTTTTACGGTAGAATCCACGGGCTCCATCCATCGCCAGAAACATGGCCAAAATGGATATCCCAAGGAAAATTGTTTCGTTTTATTGAAAGTAAAATTGTGGAACGATGATCGCAAGAAATGACTATAATCTTCGGTAGAGCTGTTGATTTATGAAATATTCGTGGATACTCGTAATATACTGGTGTAATGGAAAATTACGATTATAATGATGATATAATTAAATTGTACGTAACGGCCCAATTCCGCAGAACAAATCACGCGTATACAGTGGTAATACACGGTTCGTAAATGATTTGTTTATACGAGATCGAGGAGGTCGCGCGCGGAGAGGAGAGCGCGAATCGTCAACGCGCGACGATGTCGGACGACGTTGAATCGCGTCGCGTCGCGTAGCGTCGCGTCGGTGTCCCGTGAGAGAAGCCGATGTCGTTGCGGGGAGCAACGCGGGGGAGGCAACTCCCGGCATAGCATAAAGGTGACTCCTCGCAGCCAAGACCTCCCATATGCTACTTAGCGTCCCGTTCGGTTCGGCAAACCTCCTGTCCGCCAGCAGAGGAGAAGGTGTCCGCTCCTTCCTCCACGGAATCGCAGTTTTCTTCGCCCCGTCGCCGCGTGACGGAGTCGTTTCTCGTCCGAGAGGTATCATCGGGGCACCAGACGCGAATCAGGTCGTCGTTGTCGGCTGTTGGTCGCGTCCGTATCCGAGATCGTCGCTGATCGTCGCGCGTATCGAACACTCCACCGCGTACGGGGTGACGCGGACGGATCGAGTTAACGCTCGATACAAAATCGAACACGCCCGTGATCCTGACACGCGATCATAGACAGGGAAACCACAGACGAGGGTGATGACGAGAAGCGTTCCGTTCCTCCTTCTGGCGTTAGTGTTCCTGTCGAGACACCTCGACGTACACGCTCGACACTTTACCGAGGACCACGATGACGATGGTGCACTCGGGGACACCTGGTCCCTGGCCGATCTAACCGAAGGCAACGATCACGATGCCCGCAGAGACGAGGCTCTAGAGAAGCTGCAACAGGTCCGTGTCGTACCACTCGCCCGTGAAATTTACCGACGCGAAACTAGACTAGTTCTGATACTATGTATCTTTCTTCTATTGTCCCTCGATCCTCCTGTGACCTACCCAAAAGAGAAGTAATTCAAATAATTTGAATACTTTTAGTTAACCAGACGATGAAATTGTTTCAGGTCCTAGGGATTCGTAGTCACGGCGAAAAGACGGGACGTCGCAAGGTGCCTCCGCAGTTCATGATGGAGCTGTACAACAACGTCGCCGATCCCAGCGGAGTCACCCGGGGCAAAAATCCGTACAATGCTAAGGTTGTTCGCAGCTTCATCGAAAGAGGTAAACACATCTCCACTGTAATCTTTTATCTCATTATTGAGAAATTCTCTACTAAAGTCAGGCTTTTCCGCCAGACACATCCATGTCGCGGTTCTACTTCTTCAACATTACGGGACTGGAGGTGAACGAGTCCGTGTTGGAAGCGGAACTCCACCTCTATCGAAAGAGAACAGCCTTGACAGCCATGCATCCGTCCACCGTTGCCTCTCCTTACTACCTGGTGAGCACAAGATTATTCAATATTCGATAAACAATTTCAAATTTATTGGATCTAGAGAGCACAAGTAGTCTTTATGATACCAACCATTTCTCTTGAGACTAGAAACTGTGGACGAGGGTAACGTACAAGAGGTTCCTTTTATTCCAACTTGAGAGAGTAAAAACATACATAAAAGGAAATGAACAGTTTCTCTAACGTAGACATGTGTTTCTTCAGATAAGGGTGTACCAAGTGTTGGACGAGAGGAGCTTGGACGTCCCAGATCTCCACAGGCTGCTGAACGTTAGATACGTCGGAGCACATGCTTCTGGTTGGCAGGTAAGCCTCTATCTGTAATCTTAGAACAATCAAATGTTCCAAATATACAAGCCATTTATTTCTCCGTCAGATATTCAACGTGAAACAAGCGGTTCTCGCCTGGATGAACGGTGAGCCTAACCTCGGCCTCCTGGTGACGGCTTCCACCTTGTTCGAGGACCAGGTGAACGTGGAGTTCTCGCGACGAAACGATTACCACCACAGCAAGCAACCGATCCTGGTGCTGTTCGACGACGACGGCAAGACCCATCAAGCCAACAAAAAGATCGTTCCTCGTTACTACGCGTACGGCAACGACAACGAGATCGAGGGGGAGGTGTCGTATGACGAGGACGACGAGAAGATCGACCTGAAGAACGAGTATACAGACAAAAGACACGATGGACGACATGGCCAGGCGGAAGAAGCTCAATGGGAAAGCGGAAACGCGTCTGAATATTTCCAAAGACAGAAGAGGACGCAGAAGAGAGGCTCGACGACAGAGGAAACAATTGGAAGTGAAGAGGTTGCCGAAACCTCCAGACGTCGACGCAGAGAAGCGATGCCCCCTTGGAAGAACCCGTATCAAATCTCGTTGTCGAACGACGGGTTGCCTCCAAGCTACTTCACATCGATAGACGTTTACAGAAGAGCTATGCGTCGAAACAGGATGAGGAACAGTTTCCGACGAAAAATGATGCCACGTACAGGTAGCCAGAATCGTCGCGAAAAGCGATCCACCAAGAGCCACGCGTCCGTCCAACAGAACGTCACCGAGTGCACTAGGCACGAGCTTTACGTAGATTTCAAAGAGATCGGGCTGTCCTCGTCCATCATCGCCCCGCTAGGCTATTCCGCCTATCACTGCAAAGGTATTTGCGAATCGCCTTTGAGCCAGGACCAGCAGCCGACGAATCACGCGACCATTCAAGGCATCGTTCACAAAATGGGCCTGGTCAAAGGTGTGGAGAGACCCTGTTGCGTACCCACGAAGCTCCTGGGTACCACCATTCTCTTCTTCGACGACAACGAGAACGTCGTTTTGAAGGTCTACCAGGACATGATCGCGGATCGTTGCGGGTGTCGTTAAGAATTTCCTCGTTAGAGATCGTCCTGACGAGTCACCTGTTCTTATCGCGGAGGAGGTCGACGAAAGCGTCGCACACCCTCTTCCCCGCAACTTTCGCTGGGAACCGGTCCGAGTAAGTCGTGGTACAGTAGTGCTCGGTTAAACGAGGAAATTGCACCCTGAATCGACGAGAAAGAATTCAAGTTCGGTAACCGAGCGCTGTTGCGCTCTCGGTGTATCTCGTATCCAAAAATGAATTCGCAACTTTTTAAAGTGACAAATTTTTCATTTAGTCCAACACTATTGTATCAGGAAGAAATGGATAGAAAGAGAGAATGAGCAAACGTATGCACGTGAGGAAAATGGGAAGAGAGTGAATGGACGCATGACACGTGAAGATGATTTCATTGCGCGCTAGTTACGAGAGTCATTCCCTGAGATTCGCCTCGTGATCGCCCGTTCAATCAATCGTCCCCGACTTTTGTACATAAGAACATTCCTAAATTCGCGTACGTATCGATCGTACGTATCAACGATCAGCACGCGTCCGTATCGTTATCTTATACTTGCCGTTAAATTATTACTATAATCACACACGCGCACGCGCGCGCGCGCGCGCACACACACACACACGCACGCACGCACGCACGCACGCGCGCGCAGACGTAAGGAGGTAGTCGAATTGAGAAATGTATATAAACGCTGTATCTGATACGTTAGAGTTATTTATATTTTAATTACGATTGAATAAAACAAATATTTAAGCGAAACACCTTTCTTTCACCCTCTGTATCCAGACATGTGTGACAAAAGCAAGATATGTATCCACTGGTTATTGGTTACTTTGATTTGCCTCGACTCGATCATTTACTTCATGACGTGCTAACAAAACCTTGTTACGAAATAGGGCACGTGTAGGGCAAGAGGGAGGCTTGTACCAATACAAAGCAAATCCTGCTCTCGCCCTACTAAATTACGAAAACATATAATTTTCTTAATTATCTTTCTTTTTCTAAATTCGAGATTCCCGCGATAGGACGCATACCTACACCGTGCGGAATGATAAACAGAGCTCGTCGATTCTATATTCGGAGAGGTATCGTCGCGAGCGCGATACGTTTATTTCCATACTGGACGTGAGGCGATAAGCCAGGTCCAGGGTGGTGAATAAACGAAGCCAGGTGAAGAAAACGAGATTGGAGTTTTTGTTCGAGAGAGACAATTTCGAAGCGGGCGAGATCGAGGTGTAAATTTTACGAGCGAGCCAATAAAATAAGCGCGACGGTAACGGTGCCCGGGAGACGATGACTTTGGCGCCACTGGATGCAGAAAGGCAGTCGCGGAATGCTACCGCTACCGGTGTTAAATACCACTTCTTCTGCCTCGTTTTACCCACCGTCGACGATCGACGAGTAAATAAACCAAGGATCGGGTCCGAGAGACCCGGTCCATAAACAGTTCCGCGCTAATGGTATACACCAGCTCCAAATTTCGTTCCACCGACACCCTTCACGTTTTTCCTTTCATCTTCGTTGCCTTTATTTCCCCTCTCGTTTCGTGACCCGATGACGTGTGGCGATTCTCGTTTTATTGCATCGTTGGAATACTCGGGATCGAGAACGTAAACAGAGATTAGTTTAACGACCCCTGGAATCAGCCGTGAGCCGTGAGAGGCATGCAAGCGACGCACAGTGGTCAATTTTATCGATCTAGAGGGACAAAAGAATATTTGTATATAATCGAAAAACAGAGATATACAATGTGTCCTATTGGACGTCAACGTGTTTACTTGCTTACTATTTCAAGGTGGTAAACATTTCTGTTTAGATCAGAGTTATAAATAATTCTATACCTGTAATTTTCACATTGTCGTTGACATCACCCGTTATCTTATGAATCGATGCGAGATTAGACTAACCGCAGACGGGGGCAACAAGCGCGAAGAATCGAGGAGGCGATTAGGCGGGGTATCGCTCGATTGTTCAACGACGCCGTCTTCCTGTTTTCTCGTTAACCCCCCTTTGGAACCGTTGCACGCGCATAAATCTCTGCCTACGCCTCCCACGGACCAGGCCAATTTGTCCGAAGAATAATTTAAGGTATTTGAACCTCGCTTTTTCCAACCGTCCTCGATTTCCGTTTCCCATAGAGCGCAACGGAAAGGAGACGTGACTTGATTTATTGGCCTGGATCAGGAGCCCCGAAGGTCGCGAAATAATAACAATGCGAAATAATAACAGTACCGTCTGCCCACAACCCGCGGTAATGCGAACTCAAGCTTTCGCAGGCGGACATTTTACAACGCAAACAGAACGGGATTGCCTCGTTTCGAGCCTATTTCCAAGTCCTTTCCACCACCTTCAACTCTCCATCTATACAAACGGTATGCCCTAATTAGTTTACGACAGGCAACAAGTTTTCTAGATGTTCAAATATTAAAATTATAAAATCAATACGAATCGAATAATTGGACTGTACAGATGGGTTTACAAGAGAAGAGTTCAAAATAAGATCGAAACGAAAATACGCGGACGGTAAATATGGAGATCCGCGATAAAAGGGAGCAACCGTCGCGCTTTCGATACGAGGATTTGCATATTTGCGAGCGACCCGATGCCGTGTTCGCGTGCCGTCGTACTGCATTCCACGCGCGTGCATATTCAGTTATATTTAATCCGCGGTGGGTGTATTTTCGAATCCGCCCCGCTAAAAATAGACAGTGCGCGTTCCATTGCATTCCACCGCTGTATTTAGATCCCTCGGTATCGTAATACGCGTTGTTCGACCCGTGACAGATTTTCGCTACGACGTATTCTCTCGTTTACGTAATTATCGTGCGGCTAGATTCTTCGAGGATTTCCTGACTTGGAAGGCTGGAAAGCGTCAAAGCGTCAAAGGGCCGATTCGAGTATCGCTTACCACCGCGGTGACTGCGAACTTACGCTAAATACGCGAACAAATTCCATCAACTTAAAACGCACCACGCGAGCCGTACGCCACTGGAAGGGTTAAGGATGGCTCGAAGAAGCGAGGCTAGATCCGACGTAGAGCAAAGGAAGCGCGATGAGAAGAGCGGAGCAAAACGGAACAGCGTAAAAAGAAAAGAAAGGACCTATAGACCCTGGAGCTGCAGCTAAGTAAGAAAAACCCCGAGCCGTGAACTGTACGGCCTGTACAATGACGTAGTGTTTTGTCATCCGGCGCGCTACCTCTCCAGCAACCTCTCCGCTACCGCCACTTGGCCATTATAGTGGGACAGGACACTTCACCGGTTCACAACTATACATATAGTGGTAGGCCTTTGAACGGTGCGCGCCTCGTGGCTCGTGTACGCTCAGTTCTTCCTTCCTTCTTGTTTCCTCTTGTTTCGTTGTTTTGATCGTCCAGGCTCCTTTGCGCTCATTATCGTTCTCTCTCTCTCTCTCTCTCTCTCTCTCTCTCTCTCTCTCTCTCTCT